TACAACCGAGGCGAACACACGATCCGTTGTACGAAATCAGCCGTATGAAATCTTCTAATATTATCAGTCTGATAAAAAAAATTAAAATCGACAGTATTTGGTAAAATTTTACCGAGGCGAGTGCCTCGGTTCGCCTCATACTGGCTACGGCCCTGCAGAGTAACAACTGCTAACCCAAAAGACCGAAGTATATCAACAACATGGAAGGAAAAATAATATCAGTCACTATAAAATGACAGCACTGAAATACTAATCACCATCGGCAAATACAATAAAATGTGAATACATTTACCCAAAAGTTTGCACCTGAATAACACCTGTGACACAACAGCTGAATTAAAGGGGGGTCACAAGAAAGGAAAGGGGTCTCCCTACCTGTTGCCCCTGACACTGCCCTGATTACAGTTTGTAGATTTGTAAACACAGATAAGATTTTCACATTTAGAACGAAACAAATTATCATTGTCATCCAAAACATATGCGATGACATGTGTTTGTTCATACTGATACAATCAATTCACATAAAAAAATAAAGGCAAAACTATCAATGTCTCCTAGACTCAATTCTTGTAAATTAATCTGCTTCACTGTAAGAGGATTAGTAATCACAAATACTGAATGCCATTTTCAATTTCAAACCTTACATTCTGTCACCCATACCAATATAGCAAGCAAGGATACTAGTTTGAAGTATTTCTTCATTAGCTTTTTAGTTGAGACTAAAGAATTAAGATCCCTGAAGAAAGTAGTGCTCAAAACTGTTTATAAAAAGGACACAACTCACTTTACGTGTATTGATATCTGTATTTACTTTTCATTTAATTCACGTGTGATAGATACAGATGGTAAAACTAATAACAAATGCAAACAGGGTGCCAACAGAGACCTAAATCCCCGTAAAGCTGACCCGCTAAAGTGCTCATATAGTACCTGACAAATGTTTTAGGGCTATCTTGTCAGAAGAAAGCATACTATTACACAATCTTCCAAGATAATTACACATCTTTCAAGCCAACTTAAGCTTAAATTCGTCTTGCTAATAATGAAGAAATCGTCGTAGTACCTCGTAGTTCTAGTTGCACTAATCTGACGATGAAATCATTTTTCCGACGACCCCCACGTCTTACCTTTAGTACTTTCATGACTAAAGCATAGAACAAAGCAGCAGTTCTTCGATTTACTGACTGCATGCGAGTGATTTCGAACAAAATACACTTATTAACGGAATGACACCGTTTTCCCCCGATAATTCGATAGCCTTTGTTTTCACAGTCGTCTCTGGAAGAAAATAAAGGTAAATCGCTGATTTCTACAGTGTATTTAACGAATATTCGTCTCTGCAGTCGCTTCCAGCGAGATGTTCACTCCTCCCCATCTTGTCACAAATGATCAGATTTTGAATACCGCCCATAATGCTTTGCGATCCCAGTGCGCAGACCGCCTGTTAAAGTTCTATAAGCTTCTAATGAAACCTGATACTCGGTCAGATCATTGTCTCAAATCTTACAAACGCGCATAAACTAAATTGCCGCATAAACTACGCTCGACTTCATTGAATTAGATATAAAAAAGGAACATCAAATACAATTTGACCAGTATCACCTGACCGTACCGCGGTCTCAAGTGTCGACCCAAAAATTTAGTCGATAGCCGTAAAAATTGAAAAATTTTAACCGTTAGCCGTAAATAGGGTAAAAAAGAGTTAACCGTAAAAGAAATTGTTACCTAGATTTGCTACTTTTAAGGAACTTCAAGGTGCTAAACTCACTTATGGGTGCTTTTTTCATTTCCCGGCAAGTGTGACTCCGTACGCACGTTAGGCAAAGCGCCTTTTGGGTGTTGACCAAAAACATGTAGGCTCCATTTCCGGCGCTCTCTCGGGAAACTAATTTTTTCCATAGCGAAAGTGTGGCTTCTTGCTGGGGATTAATATTTGCAATTTTCTGGAGGTCGTGCCCTCGAAACACTAGTGATACAACACGCAGAGATGTCATTGTTTGTAAAACGCAATCTTGGTCAAGGCATTTCGGTGGAGAACTCGCTCGGACCACGTGACCCGAAACGCATTAGCCGCGCGGCATAATGCGGCCTACGGACAAGGCAACGGCAGACAGTCGTTCCGTACAGTCCTTCGCTATCATTAAAAACACTGGACATGGGAATTTTGTTATTGGCCGTTTTCACACTAGAGCTAAAAATGGATCATCCGTCTGAGACTGGCCTGTGTACANTTTTTTTTGGGGGGGGGGGGGGGGGCGGCTGTAGACAGGCTATCTGGAACGGATAATCCCGTCTTTAAAAGTCAGGGGAATTGTTCATTCAAAATTAAAACTTTTCCATTTTCAAATTAAGACGTATTATCTATCTGACGCGAATCATCAAACGGATAACTCGTCTCACACGAATAATCCTTCCCTAGTGTGAAAACGGCCATTTCTGTTATAATGAATGTCGCGCCCCGGCCTTGAGTTGGGCGTTTGCGTGTCTGCTTTTGGTTTTTCACAAAGATTATTTTGAAATTGACTATTGACATTTCTATGTGTAAAATAATATTAGAAGTGGAATACTTTATAAAAAGTAAGATCTATCAAATGTTAAAATTTTTCAAAAGAATAGGTTATTTCATCCCGAGATGATCCGAAGATCTTTTTTTTTTTATTTAAAGATACAAAAAAATACGGGTTAATTAATATTTAACTTTGCGAAACAAAAGAAGTTAATTTTTAACTTTTTCGTTAACCGTAACTGAAAAAAAATTAACCGATAGCCGTAAACAAGCCAAAATTTTAGCCGATAACCTTAAAAGCCAACACCCCATTGAGACCCTCTATGAACCTTAAGGACCTAGATTTTGACTTTGTCCTTCAACATTTAAACTTTGTTTATTTGTGAACGAAGGCGATGAAGAAACTAACTCGTAATCTTATGAAGAGGATTCGAGTCAGTGTTTGAAAATTTTAACGTAGTACACAGTTAAGAAGACGAAAATAGACTGGCAGAGATTCGAGATGTTTTGCCTAAGAGAAAATGAGTAATTCCTTTGACAAATATGGTAACAGACATGCCTGCACCCGATCATCTTGACCAGCTTCTTTGTCATTGGCAGTGTTTTTCCAAAGAGCAACGAAAGAAAGACAGAAGTGACTCCGAGCCAGACACAATGTCCAGTTTTCAAAAGACTCCAGCGTCACATTGGCAAGTGAATACTTACAGTGCTTGTAGTTTTGACCGAATATACTTAAAAATATGTCTGTAAACCCTGAGGACTGGGATGTTGACTTTGCCTTTCCAGATTTTAACCTAGCTTTGTTTGAATAAGAACGAAGCTGATGTAGAAACTGAATCGTAACCATTCCGTGGAAGAAAATATGGTCGGTGTTTGAAAATTTTAATGCAGATCACGCTTGAAGACGAGAATGAACTGGCCGAAATTCGAGAGGTTTTCCCAAAAAAATTAACGATCGAATCCT